AAGATCGAGGATCGAAGGTCGAGGTGGAACGGTAGGGGGGCACGGGCTAAGGGGGGGCAACATCGGGCTGGAATTGGCAATGCGTCGCGGATAGAAAGACGATTTGCCCCCGATAGCAACTCGGCTACACGCAACAGTGACCCAAGGCAAGAGTGACCTTTGGTGCGCGGCTTTCGGGGAGTCGCGGTGGGGCCAAACCCGAGCGCGCAAGACGCTGCTATCGCTTCGCGCTCAACGATCGGGGAACCCCCGCTTGGGCCCGCACCAAGTCACTCCGGCGAAGGTCAGTCTTGCGTGTAGTCGAGCACATCCGTGCCTTCATGGGCGGGGAGGGCTGTCGGGCCCCTGTCGGCGATGAGTAGGCGATTGAGGGTCGATGCATCGAGCCAGTCCCACCCCGAACGATGCCCCTGAGATGGTTGAAGATCGCAGGGCCAGGATCGAGGATCGAGGGTCGAGACCCTGGCTGACTCTGGAGACCCTGAAGCCATGAATCGCTGACGTCTTGCTTCTGCTTCCGCTGACCTCGGCCAGCCTTCCGCCCACGGAGCCGCCGCCGTTTTAGCCTTCCGACGGCTTTCCTTGGGGGATGGCCCGGTGGCGATCCCCACGATGATGTTCGTGCGAGAGCTGGCCAGCGGCGAGCACCATACCCCCACATCCTCGCGTCTTGACGCACTCCCGGCGCATTTTTGTTGCAACCTTCGAGCCCTGGAGGCCCTTGCCGTGTCACGGAACCGTCGAACAACGATTCGACACAAGTCTGAGGGGCAACGATGAGGAGAGGACTGGCACAGGGGGGGACGCATCGACCTGGAATCGGCGATGCATCGCTGATAGATCGGCGATCAACAGGCGATTGGGGGTCGATGCGGCACCCCACCGTAATGCCCACCCCGCCCTCCCCCCCTCTTTACCCCTGACAGTCCCAAGGAAGGCGTAGGAAACACGACGTCGGAAGTCTGAGGACGGTGTCCACGCGATCGCTGGCTGGTGGCAAGCCCCAGATGGCACTCGTGCAATCGCACCGAGCCGTGCTGACAGAAACCTTGTCGTTCGACCATCCGTTGATCGAACGGTTGATTGATCTACGCCCGATATTCTAAGTGGGAGGGGGGAGGAAAGGACCTGGACTACGAGCGGATTGACCTTCCAAGTGGGAGGGTGGAGAAAAGGACCTCGACTTCGGGCGGATTGATGTTTTCGGTCCGTCTGGTTTCTCCTCTTTCTGTTCTGGTAACCTCTTTCGGGCACGAGTCCACCAAAAATGAATCTGGAGCGAAAATCTGCCAAGTGGTCGAGTCTTGTGGGGGTCAAAAACTGAAATATTATTTCGCCGAAATCTGGGGAGGGCAAGGGGGGGAGGAGGAACGACCTCCTCTCTGATATAATCATTATCCTCCATTCCTTTTCCCTATAGATAATTTGTCCCTGTCGCACCCCGAGGTCAATTGTAAGTGCGGGCTGGGCGTGTAGTCTGAGACTCCCCTTTCACTCATGATCCTGAGGCTGAACAATGGACAACATTTTCACAAATGGAGAGCGGGCGGATTTCAAAATGTGGCACGTACTTCAGCGCCGCGCACACCCATCTCAAAACATTGCGAGTTCCACGAATTGAACGCGGCTTTTCTTCAAAATGTCGATCTCGCCTTAGCTACGAGAACTATGTTGCTTCACATCACCAATTTGGCCCCTGCTGACTTTTTCAAAATAATATATTGGGATGAAACGCTGCCGCTGGATATATCGAGCACAGTTGATCACAACACAAACGCTCCTGCGAGCCCCCGCCAAAATGGCAAGAAATGGTAAGCTCAGATCCGCATGGCTACATTGCAACCGAACCGCTTGACCACCATCTCGACCGAAATGGCGGAATTCGACCACGCGTCCGACAAAATGCGTTCGACGAGGGATGCGCTGCACAATGCCCCGGCCACGGGCAGCGCTACGAGGGAAAGCGGGCCCTTCGAGGTGTCACTTTCAGCGCCCGTGAAAGTGACACCTCCCAGGGCCCACTTAAAGAATGCCAGAAAGGCTCCAAAAAGGCCCCGAGAAGGCCCCAGGGCGGCACCAAGAGGGCTCCCAGAGGGACCCAAGAGAGGCCCCAAGAGGGGCCCAAGAGGGCCCTCCGCGGTGTCACTTTCAACGCCCGTGAAAATGACACCTCCCAGGGCCCGCTTAGGGCCTCAGAAAAGCTCTAAGAAGGCCCCGAAAGGGCCACAGAGAGCCGCCCTGGGTTCAACTCCGCGTGGCGGAGTTGGAAGGGATGGGACCCGCCAGGGTGGATCTGCCAGGGATGGGGTGGATCTGCCAGGGATGGGGGTCGGAACCGCCCCAGCGCAAAGCAAATGTACAATGCTGAGAAACCCCAACCCACATCAACCGATTCGCAACAAGCACGCAAGCCTTTGACGACCCCAACGCACGTGACATCGCATAACGCGACGCGCAATCGAAAACGTTCGACGCGCGGCCTCGGAATGACATCGGGCTTCATGGAACGTCGAATGGAAACATGAAAAACCGCCCTGTGGGCTCCGAGACCCAAAATTAGTGATGTGAAGGATCTCGGGTCGTCGATTAGCGCCGCGGACATTCGAGCTCCACAAATTCAACGCGCTTCCTTTTCAAAATGTGGCGCTCGTTTCCGCGTAGCACAAGTTCGTCTTAAAACTTTGCAAGGGCTCCACGGATTGATGGCGGTTCCTTGTCAGAATGCGGCTCTCGCCGTAGCGCCGCGCACACTCGTCTTAAAGCACTACAGGAGTTTCGCGGATCCTCATCGTTTGGATTCAGAAGCGCTTCAGAATTGCCAGGGCGCAGCAGCTATTGGAGCGATTCAGGATTGTCAGGATCATTCAGCGATTCAGGATTGTCCAGGCACAAGAATTATTTTGATTCGCGGCGTGGGAGTCCGAGGACTGGCATTCTGGCGCGATTCAGGATTGTCAGGACGCAACAGAATCAGGTTGATTCGTGGCTTTGACATCCCAGGATTACGTTTTTGGCACGCTTCCATGTGTTCAAACGGTTGTCTCCCAATGAGGTACTTCCCTCAAAGGAAATAAACCCTTGTAGGGTTATATGATGGAAGATGGAAGGTTGACTCCATCATACTTGATGAGTCTTGGGTTTGCACTGGTCCTCCTCTTCCTCCTCCTCCTCCTCCTCCTCCTCCTCCTCCCCGTCCTCCGCCTTCTCCCGGTTTCCTCCTCCCCCCTCGTCCTGTACACTCGACACATGGCCACAAGGACGCTGGTCAAGAGCATCCATCTCTTCGCCGGGGGCTCAAGGCCCCGTGGAAGTGTCCGCTCAAAAAGAGTACCATATTTCGAAATGGAGAACCCCGACATGTAAGCCATCAGGGTACCCCATCCACACCTCGTGCTGTCCCGATTCCAATCAGATTGCCTCCTAAACCCCACGGGCAGGGAAGTGAACAGAAGGAAGGGGAGTTGGTGGAGAAAGGAAAAGGCAAGGTTTAAACCACGACGCATCAACGATTATGAAAGAACCCACCCTTCAAACTCCCTCTTCACAAGCCCCATACACGAATGGATCCTCATCGCGGGTAGTGGCCCATTAGAAGACAACCGTCTGAAAATCATCAATAATGCCAACACGAATTTCTTGGGCCTCCAGCGCCGCGAATCAACATGGCTGACGTTTCCTGACATCCCCAAATAATGCCAGAATGCAACTCCTGGAACACCAACGCTGCGAATCAACATGACTGTTACGTCCTGAGCACCCTAGATAGCGCTAAGACACCATTTCTCAGTCCTGATGCTTTAAGCCTACGAGCCTGCTGCAAACTTTTTGTGCACAAGTGCGCGTCGCTGAGGCGCGATTCACATTTCGAAATCGAGCCGCCCGCCATCCGTGAAACTGCTGCACGCTGTTCAAACGAATGCGCACGGCGCTAAGGCGAGAACCACATTCGGAAAAGACCAGCCGTCCATCCTTGAACTCTTGTTCGCTGTTTTATATACAAAACAAAAAATCAGCGCGGCGCTGAATCGAAAACAACACTATGGAAACGATCCGCCCTCCATCCGTGAAGCTGCTGCGAATTTTCAGAACGAAACTGTGGCGCGCGGAAGCGACAGCCACAACTTGAAAACTGCCCGCCCTCCATCCGTGAAAGTGTGCACACTCCAAACTTCAACATCAGACATAAAACATCCCAAGCGAAACGCCAGACCTGCCCTGCGGACGCGTCTTGGGAGGCGACGGGGCATATGGATTTCGAAAGGACAAGAAGGTAAGGGACATAACGAGGGCAAGGGAGAGGAGGATAAGGGTGACAAGACGGAAGAGGAGGAAGGGGAGGAGGAGGAAGAGCATGAGGAAGAGGAGGAGGATGAGGAGAAAGAGGACAAGAGGAGGAGGAGGAGGAGGAGGAGGAGGAGGAGGAGGAGGAGGAGGAGGAGGGCAATCATAATAATCATAATAAGGATGAGGACGAGGAGGACGAAACAAAGGACGACAAAGGGGAGGATCAGAAGGAGGAGGAGGAGGATTATCAATCATACGAGGATGAGGAGGAGGAGGCAGATGAGGAGGAGGAGGAGGACGAGGAGGAGGAGGAGGAGGACAAGGAAGAGGAGGAGGAGGAGGAGGAGGAGGAAAAAAGGCAAAAAAAATGAAGGGGAGGAGGAAGAGGAGGAGGAGGAGGTGCGACCCCTAAACATCCCCTGCGTGGCTGCGCTGGAACTGCTTCTGAACCCCCGCGCAACATGCAAGCGCCCCGCGGTTCCGTCAGCATGGGGGAAGCGGGTCCTCTGGGAAACGGGCCCCGGGGCCTTCCCCCAGGACCTGCTCTTCACTCTGGGTCGTCTTCGGACACTCCCCGGGCCCAGGACACCAAAAATGGCGAAATACCTCCTCCTCCTCGTCCTCCTCGTCCCCCTCCTCCTCCTCCTCCTCGTCCTCCTCCTCCTCCTCCTCCTCCTCCTCCTCAGGAGCCGATTCCACCGCGGCGACGCCCACTCCTGGCCCGCGGGCTTAGCGTCCAAGGCGGGCGGCGGCAGGGCGAAAAGGCTCTCGACGCACCCGCGGACGGCGCGCTGGGCGGGGGCGCTCCGGTCCGCTCGGCGGGGGCCCCCCTCCTCCCTCATCGGGGAGGGGAGGAAGGGGAGGAAAGATCGGACAGAGGTGGGCGAGGAGGGGGAGAAGGAAGCAGATGCGGAGGAGGCAGAGGAGGAGGAGGAGGAGGAGGAGGAGGAGGAGGAGGAGGAGGAAAAGGAGGAGGAGGAGTAAGAGGAGGAAGAGGAGGAGGAGGAAAAGGAGGAGGAGGAGGAAGAGGAGGAGAAGGAGGAAGGAAGAGGAGGAGTAGGAGGAGGAGGAGGAGATGAGGAAAAGGAGGAGGAGGAGGACGAGGAGGGAGGAGGAGGAGGAGGAGGAGGAGGAGGAGGAGGAGGAGGGAGAGGAGAAAAGGAGGAGGATTGGATTGGACACGTCGAGAACAAGGCTGGGCCTTCCAGCAACGAAGGTTCGAAGGCAGACCCTGCACCGCTTAGAGGCACAGGGCTGCCCGCCAACCAACATGCCAGAGAAACCCAACCCACAGAGAGCAACCGCGATCCGCGGCGGCGCACGCGCGGCATGCTTGCGCGCCAAACCGGCGCGCCCTCACGCAATCCTGGTACTCAGCCCGATCAGGTCAGGTGTATCAGCCTTGATGCTCTTGCTAACAATGTGTGGCGTACCGAAGCGAGCAGCACGGAGATCGGCCAGAGCAGTACGATGAGCCATAGGCCCTGCACCCGCGGCATGAGCAGCACCGTCAGCGGCTTCACGGAGATCTGAATGCATCCGCGCAGGCGCTGTGGATAACCATGGGTCGCGACCACCACTCCAAGGATCACGATCAGCTCCGCGATCAAAATCATCAGGAGGCGTGCTGGGGTCCAGCACGACAGGCTGATCGGGTCGACCATGAGAACCATGAGAAGCAACACACCCACCAGGCCCAGCGAGGGCATCACGTTCAGGATGAGGACCTTGAGCAGCAGGAGGTGCAGGACCATCAGAAACGCTTGCCTTGTCCATTCCCTTGTACTTGCCAAGGTTGATGCTGTCCTGGCCCTTGTCCTTGCCCTCGTCGTTATGAAGGCCTGGAGGCGCGGCAGCGTGGCCAGACCCATCAGCAAGAAAAACTCCGGCCAGCGCCGCGCCGAGCTTCGACGCCTGGCAGCCACGGTGCCCAAAGGCTCTGACAGCGCGGAGCAGGGCTTGCACAGCCCGCGCCTGCGCCCGCCCAGACTGAGCGCGGCGCTCGGCGGCCGCGCGGCGAGGGCACATGTGAAGGGGCCCCAGGACACCACGAACATGGGCCGCTCAGCTGCAGGGCACCACGGCGCCGCCACCCCGGGGCCAAGAGGAGGGGGGAGGCGGGGAGGCGGAGGCGCGGGTGGCCTCCCGGCGCGGGCTCGCAAGCAGCAGCCGCTGCTTGACCCGAGCTGGCGCCAGGAGGAGGGGAGGGGGAGGAGGAGAAAGAGGAGGAGGAGGAGTACCAGTGTAGACCCAAGGGTCGTCAATGATGTTGGACTAAACCTGCCCTCCAAGCTCACTCTTCATAGGCCTCTGCACCGGTTCATTTCCATTGAGGGCATTGCCTCGTTGGAATACAACCGTTTGAAGACCCTGAAGCATGACTAAACATTGTTCTCGGGATTGCAGTGCCATGGATCAGCCTGACTGTTGCGCACTGGCGACCCTGAAGCGTGCCAGAACGCCATTCGCGGGACTTCAGCACAGCGAAACAACATAACTGCTGCATCCGCGTAATCCTGACTATTGTTTGGGAATGTAAAAAAAACTTGTCTGGCACGTTGATGATGACGATCCGTGAGATGCTTGCAAATTTCTAAAACGAATGTGCGCGGCGCTGAAGCGATAGTCACATTATAAAAAAAACAGCCTGCCCTCAATCCGCGAAGATCTTGCAAAATGTTGAAACGAATGTGCTGCGAGAGTCGCATTTTGGAAACGAACCGCTCTCAATCCGCGAAACCCTTGCAAATTTTTGAAAACGAATGTGCGCCGCGTTCAGGCGAGAACCACATTTTGAATCCGGCTCGCCCTCGATCCGTGAAGCTCTTGCATTTCTTATAAAAAACGAATGTGCGCCGCGCTCAGGCGAAAGCCACATGTTGAAAAAAACCCGCCCTCAATCCGCGAAGCCATTGCAAATTTCTAAAGCGTGGATGCGCCACGCTAAGGCGAGAACCACGATCTGAAAACAACCCGCCCTCAATCCGTGGAACTCTTGCATGTTGTTGAGAGCGAATGTGCGCCGCAGCGGGAACCACATTTTGAAGACGACCCGCCGTCAATCCGCGCAGCTTTTGCAAAGTGTTAAGACGAATGTGCGCCGCGCGAAGGCGAGGGCCACATATTGAAAACGGCCCGCCCTCCATCCGCGAAGCTGCTGCCAATATTTAAGCTTCATGGTCATAGCCGATGAGGACATGTTAGGCGAAACGCCCAGCCCGCCCGAAAAACTGGCATTCGGGTGCGACAGGGAGAGGTTAGTTGTAACGAAAAGGAATGGAATAGGAGGGGGGGAGGAGACGAACAAATAGGAAGAGGAGGAGAAGGAACGAGGGGAGGAGGAGGAGTACGAGGAGAGGGGGGATGAGGAGGAAGAGGAAGAGGAGGAGGAGGAGGACGAAGAGGAGGAGGAGGAAAAGAAGGAGGAGGAGGAAGAGGTAAGGTCATATCATCCGCGTGAAGGGGTAACGTCGACACCTACTAAGAAGCTGCGCAGTACGACTAGCAGAATCCCCTGCGCGAGTCGTATGCAACTAAGGCCCGACAGCACTTCGACATCGCATCGAAGTCCCTGCGAGGGCCTGCGCAGGGGCGGTCGCGCGGCCTTCCCTCCACCACCCCCCCCACTCCCCCGCCTCCACCACAGGCTAGCGCGCGGTCCGTTCGCAGGGAGTCCAAGCCCCGGGCGTCGAATTGCGGGAAACCTTCCGCAGTGCGTTTCGCGCGGGCAGAACCCCGCCTCAAGACATCCGGTAATTCCCAATCCTTGGTGCGTAGGCGTCGCCGCGCGCGCGCGTCTGAGGCTCGCGCTCAAGGGGGGAAGGCTTCTTCGGAAACAGGGCGCGGGCACCCTGGTGCTTGGCGCGAGGCGTCCGCGGCGCCGCGCCCCAGCCTCGCCCGCGGGTTCTCGGCCCGGGGCGCTAGCCCCCTGGCGTCGAAGTGCATGCGTGCGTGCGTGCGTGCGTGCGTGCGTGTGTGTGTGTGTGTGTGCGTGTATATGTATGTGCGTGCGTGTGCGTGTGCGTGTGCGTGTGCGTGTGCGTGTGCGTGTGCGAGTGCGTGTGCGTGTGCGTGTGTATGTGCGTGTGCGTGTGCGTGTGCGTGTGCGTGTGTCATGTACGTGTGCGTGTGCGTCTATGTGTATGTGTATGTGTATGTGTATGTGTATGGGTATGTGTCTGTGTATGCGTACGTGTATGTGTATATGTATGTGTATGTGTATGTGTATGTGTATGTCTATGTGTGTATGCGCGCGTGCGCGCGTGCGCGCGTGCGCGTGCGCGTGCGCGTGCGCGTGCGCGTGCGCGTGCACGTGCGAATGCGCGTGCGCGTGCGCGTGCGCGTGCGCGTGCGCGCGCGCGTGCCCGCGCGCGCGCGCGTGCGCGTGCGCGTGCGCGTGCGCGTGCGCGTGCGCGTGTGCGTGTGCGTGCGCGTGCGCGTGCGCGTGCGCGTGCGCGTGCGCGTGCGCGTGCGCGTGTGCGTGTGCGCGTGTGCGTGTGTGTGCGTGTGCGTGTGCGTGCGCGTGCGTGTGCGTGTGCGTGTGCGTGTGCGTGTGCGTGTGCGCGTGCGTGTGCGTGTGCGTGTGCGTGTGCGTGTGCGTGTGCGTGTGCGTGTGCGTGTGCGTGTGCGTGTGCGTGAAGTTGTTCGTGGCGGTGACCCATGCTGACCCTAACCTGCGGCACGCGATGCAGTTGGGTATATCCTGCCGCGTGTACCAACAGCCACAGTACCCACATCTGCCTTTTGGGGTGGAAGAAATCCCCAAACGTTATCATTTGGGAGGTGTTGTTCATGGGCCAGGGTCCCGTCGGGTTGTCGCCCTCGAAGTCCCTGGGCCCTCCTATGCCAGGGGACTGCAGCTCGGCGTTGGGATAGGCTGGGATGACCCACCCGTCGCGGCCTAAGCCGTATTGTGGCGATGAGAGGACGTCCGTACCTGTCTCAACCCAGTGTCCTCTGCTGATGGCCCACCGCCGGACTTCGCTGCGATCCGGGAAGTGAACCGTGTTGCGGCGGTGCTCGTGGACCAGGTGTTCGCAGATCCTGGCTTTTCGCTCCAAGTTAGTGTCAGTAGGACCGTTCTCCGCCACGCCAGGTGCAGGATCGCGTCGCCACCTGGACATGCCGAGGAAGGTCGGGGGAAAGATTTCGTCCGTCGGGTCGCACATCCCGATGCCCACGTAGAGGGCGGCGTGGTATAATATGTCGTGCTCCCTCTCCGCCGCTATGGTTTCTCACTGTGTCGGCTCGCACAGATCGTGGATTTCGCCCCCGATGTCTGGGTCCTGTGAAAGACTGGCATAGCGGAAGGCGAGCACCTGGACTGGGTCCGGCCCAACTCCACCTAGCCTGGCTTCGTGGTCAGCTCCTGTGATGGACCAGACCAGCCAGGAAATGTCCAGTTGAGCCATAGCTGAAGCACAGCTGCGAAGCCTTCCCGTGCTCTCCCGCTCAGGTTGGTCCCACTTGGGCCAATTATCTCCCCTTGTCGCTGGGGGGCCTACGTTCCCCGGGGGGTGACGGAGCCAGCATAAGCTTATCAGCTCGACCAACCCATCGCACATGGCTCGGTTGCGGGGGGGGGCCCTGTGAGCCCTCCACGGTCCGTCCCTAGGCTCGTGGTGTTCGAGTAGGACTGAGATGGGACCTCCCCTCATGGTTTTCCTGGGATCCATCACTATGGGGGCCTGGCAGGGTGAGTCAATATTACGCGACACCCCACTTCTTGGAGGCGGGGGAGGTCTGGGCTGGGGCGCGCGTCCCCTTTGTCCGCGAATGTCCTCTCCTCTTACTGGGCTGTGCGCCCCTGCCCTTACAGGCCGAGATGGCCAGATACCTGGGGGTAGGGAGATTGGGCTGTCACGACCCCAAGCATCCGAATCGGAGGTACTACTATCGACGCAACCCCAGTCGTGTGCCTCGTCGTACGGGAGTCTGTCATCTCGCTCATCCTCGCTTGGGTCCGACCCTCCGCCCGAATCTGGCCCTGCCCTCACATAGTGGCCGTGCTCTGTGTCGTGCTGCCCTTCTCCGTCCGCGCCGATTCCTATCGGGTCGAAAGGCACAGTGGGGGTTATTTCAAGGTCCTATGTCGCGTCGGCGCTGGGGAGCCACGTCGGGAAGGCGGTGGTCGGGTTGTGTGTCTCTTCCCTCTGTGCGACGCCGATATATGAGGCACTGCCCACAGCTGTCACCTCGGAGGATTCGGGCATCCTGCGTGCCTCGGGGAGGCCCCTGGGCCGCGGCCAAACCATCATGCCTCTCGTTGGGAGGGGGAGGAGAGGAGGCGCAGCCGATAGCCGCGGGATCTGGTGAATTGGGGGATTGGGAGAGAGGGGCGGTCATGTGCGCTCTCACGGGGCACGTATCGTCGGCGTCTGTATCAGCCCGAGCTTGCGCTGGCTCAGTATGGGGGGATGCCATCCTTGATGGGCTGCCTCCGCTCCTTTGGAGGCTCTGTCCCCGCCTAGTAGGGGGATCGCGCGTAATAGGAGGATGAGGGGAGGGAGAGGCGCAGCCGATAGCCGCATTCACTTGTGAAATAGGAGGGGGGGATGAGAAGGCGCAGCCGATAGCCGCTGGATCTGGTGAATTGAAAGGAGAGGGAGGGTCGTCGTTCGGGAGCGTTAGCGAGGGCCCTTGATCGCCTGTGAAGGATCTCCTGGCGTTGGGCTGTGGGGGGACTGCCTCAGCCTCTGTCGGCGCCACCCCAGTGCCAGACGCTCCGCCAGCCAGTCCCTGGCCGTTCTGCCACTCTCCAGGTGACGCGGCATGTGTATCCTGCACGTCAGGAGGATGAGAAGAGGAGGAGGCGCAGCCGATAGCCGCGGGATCTGGTAAATTGTTGGAGGAGAGGGGGGGGCGGTAACGTCTCTGCCCGTGTCCTCCTGCGGGGGGTCGTTGGTCACCACTGTCGGGGGGGACGCTCCGTCTTCTCCACCTGGACGTGCTTCCCCAGCTGTCCCCCGAGAGGGCTCCGTGACTCCACCTCCAACCGCTGTGGACTGAGCTGTGTCCGTGGCTCGGGTCCATTGCGAGCCGTCCGCCCCCCTACGAGGGGAGGCGGGAGGCGTGGGGGGAAATGGGGTGTGCTCAGGATTCGTCTCAAGGTCAGGGCTCTCCACCTGCACCTGGGAGTCTTCTTCCCCCTCGCGTGGAGGAGGTGGTCTCGGATTCGTACTCGGTGCTGGTTCCGCCACGCCTGTGGGCGAAGGCTGCTCTGCATGGGGGGGAGATGTCTCAATCGGTGCCAGTACATGGACTCCCGAGCCGCGTACTGTGCGATCAGGATCTCCCTCCCGTCCATCGTGCGGGTCAGCCATCGTCCGCGTAAGCAATGGGGGGGACACGCGGCCCTGGGCGGGCAGGACAAACCGGCGTCCGGGCGCCCCCTTGAGCGGTGGAAGACTACCCCGGAGGGGGCAGGCCTTGAGCCAGGCTTGAGCCAAGGGGGCTACGGAAAGGTGGTGGGGATACGCGAAGCGTGAAGAATTTTCGCATCCCCATTGCGAGACCCCTGAGAAGGGGTAGCGCGAAGGGGGGCAGCTTGGAAGAGGGTGGGGCAACTTCTGAGCAGGCCGGGTGGCCTCTCAGACGCCCTCCCAGCTTCTATCTTCCCAGAAGCCTCCGGGCTTTTCTGAGAGGGCCCGTGGAGGGGCAGAAAAGCACCGATACCGCTACTCCCTGGAACTCTCCAGGAACGCGTTCTGAGCAGAATTTCGAAGAGAATCTGGCCGTGGCAACGAGGGCTCACCAAGAGGACGATCAGCCGTATCCGTACCTTTTGCTCCTCTGAGCCCCTGTCTTCTGAGACTGCCGTCGTCGCTGCGGTCGTCGTCGCTCGTTCTCGCTCGTCGTCGTCGCTAGCCTCGCCATCGCTCGGACGTCCATTCCCTGTACATTGTTCGTTTTCGCGCGTGCACTTTTTCGCAAGGTGAACAAAAATGCTCCTCAATGGTCCTTGCCGAGAAGAAATGCACGCGTCCGAACGAGGCCAATCGTCTTTTTCGTCGTCGTGCGTCGGCTGCCAAGCGGCCGCGAGGCGGGCGTCCTGGTGCTCGAGGCAGGCGGCTTCGAGCTGCGAGAGCAGCTCGGACCCGCTGGCCGAGAGGGCCGCCGGAGCCTCTGGGGTGCACCCTCCTCGCTGCTCCGCCTCATCCTCCTAATCGTCCTCCTCGCCCTTTTCTTCCTCCTCCTCCTCCTCCTCCTCCTCCTCCTCCTCCCTCGCCCCTCCTCTTTCTTCCTCCTCCTGCTCCGTTCCTCCTCCTCCTCCTCCTCCTCCTCCTCTTCCTCCTCTCCTCCTCCAAGGTCCTCCTGTTCCTCTGCTCCTCCTTTTCCTCCTCCCCCCACCTCTTCCTTCTCTTCTTTTTTCGATGTCAGTTAGAACTGAAAAACTAGTTTTCATCCTCCTCTTCCTCCTCCTCCTCCTCATATGTTATTGTCTTTATCTCGAGTGTAGGGCGGGAGGTCGAAGCCGAGAGTTGCGCGTAAGTGTGCAGTAATAAACGTAGTGTCTTTACGTCGTGTATTTGCCTAGTGTGCTTGCGCAATATACCTGCGTAGTGTAAGTACGTAGTGTATTTACGTAGTGTACTTGCATAGTGTATTTCCGTGATGTGTTTGCGTAGTGTATTCGCATAGTGCTTTCGCGCATCGTAGTTCACTTAGCGCGTTTGCGTAGTGTTTTCGCGTAATGTGTCAGGCCAGTGTGTTGTGTTGGTGTAGAACTTCTGCGCGGTTTATTTGTGTAGCGTTATCGTGTATGGTATTAGCGTCGCCGTTTGACGTGCAGTGCTTGCGCGGAATACTTGCGCAGTGTATTTCGCGGAGTGCGTTGCGCCGCGTGGAATTAGCTCCCGCGTAATGTCGTCGCGTAGTGTCTGGTCGGCCCGCAAACTTGGGAATGGACTCGGAACTGCGAGGCCTGGACGCGCTGCCAAGCACTTCGATCGGGCGATGGGCAGTGGCAATGCTGGAGACGCCCGTGGTGACGCTACTTTGCCGAGGTTTGCGTCGTGCCGACCTGTGATCCAAGGATTCCTGCCACGGAATATTAAAACTGCTGCGCTTGGGCCTCGCAGGAAAAGGTTCCGCGTTGGCCGGTGCGCCGCTCTTGGATAACCCTGTGCCGCTCGTGAAACCACAGGCATTGGCTTGGCCGCCTGGCGTGGTCAGGGTGCGCTCTATGTCGCGGCGGGTCTCGCATGCATCCTGGACAAGAGCATGGTGATTCAACTCCTGGAGGGATGGCGCACTTCCCTGGGGCTTTGATGCGACGCGGATGGCTGCAATTGCCGCGGCAGCAGGGACATATTGAATACCGTTTAACGTTTGGTATGTTGGCTGCTTGCTTGGCAGCTGGTGCGACGGGAGCCGCCTGCGTGCCCGCGTCGCGCTTGGGAGCCCCAATCGCCTTCGGTCGGGCACGGGGCTTGCCTGTTGGTGTTGGCGCGGCTGCTGTTGCTGCTGCTGGCGCAGGTGCAAGTGGTGCGTCGGCGTCTTCCAGGCGTTCAGGTTCCCAGAAAGCTTTTGGGCTGATGTGGGCGCCTGTGGCTGGGTAGAGCTCTGCCATCAGGGCGAGGGAACTTTCCGCCGCGGCCATGAAAGCGACGACGCCTTGCACCACGCGCTCAGCTAAGCGCCATGGCCAGACCTGGAGTGTCCTGGCACGTTGGCTGCGACTCCAGTTGACATCGCGGTCGCGTCGATTGCTGCACCTCAAGCTCCTGAAGGGCGCCGGCAGGCGTGGTGTTGGCTGTAGCCACGGACGGGTGGGAGGCCGCGTGACCTTCTGGCGCCCGCCTCTGCCATCCGTGCTGCCCGAGAGCTCTGGCGCACATCGGCGCGACCCATCACTAGAGCGCGGTTGGGACACGCCGTTGGTTCCCCGGCCAGGAGAGCCGGGGTGCCCCGCGTAGGGGCCGCAGCTCATCGCGAGCCTAGGTTCGACCGCTGCTCGGCTTCCTGGCTGGAGGGGGCAGCGGCCGGCGTCGTGTCCTCCGTCTCCGTCTCCGTCTCGTCGGCGTGAGCGTGCAACTGGGCGCCGCGGCCGGGCGCGCCGCCTGCGGCTCGCGCGGCCCTCTCGAAGTCGTCGATGATCATCGCGAGGTGTCCGCTCGGAGCCGTCTGCGGCGGGGTGCGAGCGGCCCCCGCGGGCCATTTGATCTGGACGTCGCCGCCGCCTGGCAGGATGAGCTCGTGTTGGCCCATGCCCAGGATCGCACGCGTGGCCATGCTGCGCAGGCCGAGCAGGCCGGGCAAGTCGCTGCTGGGGCTTTGCCATGTTCATCCGCGACGGCTATGGGGGTGCTCACCTCATGGGTGCACTCTTGGGCCCCGTTGACAATGTGGCGCGCAAGCTTTTCGGCCACGAGGTGGGTCCGCGCGCCTGGGTGCACGATGGCGCTGGGCTCGCCTGGGGGAGCCGCGCGCGACTGTGATGAACCTGAGTGGCGCACTCGTTTGCTGTGCCATTGGCCGGGCCGTCAGGTCGGCGCATCGGCTGCACCGCCTTGCGGTGAGCCTTGCGGCGGCGGCGGCCCCCAGGTGGATGTGGGAGCGCCGAAGGTGATCTCGCCGACCCCCAGGACACCATCAGCGCCAGGAGGCATGTCCTCATCGGGCGCTTCGCGGGGTGCGCTGGCGACCTGCATCCTGTATGGGCGCGACCTCGCGCGCTACCAGATGTTGCCAACATGTTGGGCATTGTGAGAATGATACTCGGGCCTGGTCGCCGCGGAGCGCTCCTTCTACGGCTCGCAGCAGGGCGTCGTCGCGGCTAGTGGCGCAGCGCTCCAAACAGATGCATCAAATCTCATCGGCGTCGACTTCAAATCCAATGAGTTCTGACTCTGCGCGCGCATCCGATGGTTGTGGTGGTGGTGGTGGTGCGACGGTCGTGGGCCCAGCCGTGACCACATCGATCATCTGTTGGGCGCGCTCGCGGCGGTGCGCAAGCCGTTGTTCCATCCGAGCGTCGCGGTCGGCCTCCAATCAATCTGGCCATGAAAGACAACCGGATGGAGATCACAGGAACCGGGTCGTGAACGAAGTTGGTCCTGACGGCCGCAATCGGCACTTCAACTAGGTGCCCATGTCCGCAGCGTTGTCTGTCTGGCTGGGCAGCCTGCGCCAGCTGACCCTGCCTCAGGCGCGCGAGTTGGCCGAAAACGCAAATTCGAAGAATAGTGATGCGCTGATCACCAGGAGCGGCGAGTTGGCCCATAAGAGAAATGGTAGCACCCGCGCGGCACGGTCGGTCGATGTGGCTCGTCGCGGGGGCCCCGTAGAGCTGCAGACCTCCGCGGCATGCTGCTAAAGTGGCGAGCTCCGTCGGCAGCTGCCGCCGGCTCCGCGGCGGCGGCGGTCGCGCCGGGGAACGGCGGCAGCGCTGGAGGTTGGGGCGGTCCTGATGTTGTTGTTGTTGTTGTTGTTGTTGTTGAACATTATTTCTTCTTAAGAATAATTATTGTTGGGAACCCTGGTGCACGACCCCCCCGCCGCGCCTAGGCCGCAGCCACATTTTCATCATTTTCGTGAGGAAGTCTCAGGCAAAACGATTATGTCCGGATCCGGTTGTTTTGTTGTACTCCGTTTTCCCTTGCAAAAAACACTATAAAATGAAAATTCTTGTTCTTACTTGATCAAATTGCAAGAATCCCTTGCAAAAAATAAGGTAAAGTGGACATTCGTGCGCGCAAGACGAAATCCTTCCAAAACCTTAGGTTTCGTAACGATTTTAACATAAAAACATCAAAAACCCAATGGTTTTTTAAGAAAAAATTGTCAAAATGTCCTTCCGCGCGCGCTGTCCGAATCCCACAAAACCAATGGTTTTTCAACATTTATGTTACATGAGCTCGCGCGAGCTACTTTTTCTTGTTCTAACATAATCAAATTTCAATAATCCCTTGCAAAAAATAAGGTAAAGTGGACATTCGCGCGCGCAAGACGAAATCCTTCCAGAACCTTAGGTTTCGTAACGATTTCAACATAAAAACATCAAAAACCCAATGGTTTTTCAAAAAAAAATGTCCAAATTTCATCCCGCGCGCGCTGTCCGACTCCCACAAAACCAATGGTTTTTCAACATTTATGTTACATGAGCTCGCGCGAGCTACTTTTTCTTGTTCTAACATAATCAAATTTCAATACTCCCTTGCAAAAAAAAAGTAAAGTGGACATTCGCGCGCGCAAGACCAACAAAAAACACGACGATCTCAGGAACTTGCCCCAAAAATGTGACCAACTCCGCTCTCTCTGTCTCTCTCTCTGTCTGCTCTCTGTCTCTCTCTCTGTCTGTCTGTGTCATGTATTGTATGTCACAATTGCAGGATGCTGGGCACACGCGCGCCCCGAATAAGTGACCAAGTTCTGTGGGTGTGTACCCCACGCCAGTGTAGTAGCCACGGTCGTCCGCACGCCACGAAGTGAAGTGTCCCAACGTCATAGGGCGGGAAGCTGGGTTTGGGTGGTCGCGAAGAGTCGTTTGGATATTTGGTAGAGCTTGAACTGCCCCCCCACGAAGTGGGGGTATTGTCTCGCGTCGCATGAAAACCCTGGCACTGGTGAGAACACTGAGCGTTCGGGTAAAATGATTGTTGTTGTTGTTGTTGTTGTTGTTGTTGTTGTTGTTGAAGCATTATTACTTCTAAAGAATAATTATTGTTGGGGCCCCTGGTGCACGGCCCCCCCGCCGCGCCTAGGCCGCAGCCACATTTTCATCATTTTCGCGAGGAAGTCTCAGGCAAAACGGGTTGGTCCGGATCCGGTTGTTTTGTTACCCGTTTTCCCTTGCAAAAAATAAGCTAAAGTGGACATTTCTTGTTCTAACATAACCAAACTTCAAGAATCCCTTGCAAAAAATAAGGTAAAGTGGACATTCGCGCGCGCAAGACGAAATCCTTCCAAAACCTTAGTTTTCGTAGCGATTTTAACATAAAAACATCAAAAAAAAACCAATTTTTTTTTTAAAAAAATGTCAAAATTTCATCCCGCGCGCTCTTGCGGATTCGTAGGAAACCCAACACTTTTTAAACATTTCTGTCAAACGGGCTTTTGCGAGCAACTTTTTCGAACTTCTGCAACAACGGTTGCGCACCTGCCAGGGCCATCATCCCTGTC